ATTTAAAAAACTATTGAATTTGAGATTAAAAACACTTAAGACCTAGCCCCGGAGCATCGCCCGGGTCTAAGAGCTAGTAAACGATCTTTATAAATGAATTAAACTATTAATATCATGATTTGAAGATGTCACGCAATAGTAAGCATTTATATTTATTTCACTGATTAAAAACCTTTAAATTCATGAGCTAACGAATGACTAACGTGAAAGAAAGGTGCTATATAATTGTAAACAAATAATAATGTTCTTGATTTGTAAATCTGTTTTGCTGATTATAATTCTAATATTCAATGATTTTATGTTCAGGAAGTGATTATCGCAAATTAAATGATAAACTGTTTTGCTGATTTTAATTCCAATAATTAATAAATGTTCTTTACGTTTAGGAAATCGAATGAAATTAATAAGAATGAAATGATTCGAAGGGATATTATGCAATGATATCGTGAATCTGTTTTACTGAATTCAATTCGAATAATTAATAATGCTCTTTATGATCGGAAATTTGAATGAAATGATTAGTGTGAACGAAATGATTCGAAGGATATGATGTAATGGTAGATAAGTATTTATGTTCTTGATTTGTGAATCTGCTTATTAATTTTAATTCCAATAATTAATAAATGCTTTTTATATTCAGGAAGTCGAATGAAATGATTTGAAAAATATTATGTGCTGGTAAATAAGTATTTATGTTCTTGATTTGTGAATCTTTTTGCTGTTTTTAATTCCAATATTTAATAAATGGTCGTTATGTTCAGGAAGCCAAATAAAATGATTAATGCAAATAAATGATTCGAAGGGTATGTAATAATAGATAATTATTTATGTTCTTGATTTGTGAATCTGATTTACTGATTTAATTCCAATAATTAATAAATGTTTCTAATGTTTAGGAAGCTGAATGCTATGGTTCTGATGCCTTTTTTTACGTTCGTTGTATCGGTATGATTATCTTTACATTAACCAATTTTATTAAAAGTTTTAGTTTCTGTGATCTGTTCATTTGTGGTAAAGCTCATTTCACCAACAATGATCTCACTGACAGTCCATTTAGTCAATATTATGTAGGATGAGGTTAATATTTGTTTAGTTGCATGTATATACAGTATTTTAGTAAATTGCCACTGGCATAACGTCGGCTAAACAAGCTGTGGTGAAATTATTGCTAGTAATTAAGGTAAACTGTTCATCTGTTAAATATAACAATCTGCTTTTTTTAATAATCATAATTGAATCTGACTAGAGAAGGCACTATGCAGCATGGTGCTTAATCGTCACATATTATAATTTCTAAATTTATGCAAAATTAACATCCGATGTGATTTTCATAATTTTAAGCATGTAATAATTAAACACCAAGCTGCATAATGCCCATCTCTAGATATGTATTTAATAATATATAATTTTAATAATTATTTTTTAGTATTAGAGATCAATATTTTACGTATGACGTTACTTTAAATATTTTATTTTAAATTTACTTCTGATGTACTGTACATTCAGACCTCTCTAAATGCATAGCCAAGAGACGGCCAAAAAATCTTGCACTTAGAGAAATATTGCATTTAGGAAGGTAAAAATCTATGCTATATGAATTGGGGCCAAAGAAGGTCATGCATTTAGGGAGATCTGACTGTATATTTTTAGATTAGTTAAATAATTAGATAGTAAAAATATTTATTTAACAATATTATAAAATGTTATTTTAGTTTGATTACTCGATTATATTCAAATAAAAATAATTTAAACCAGGTAGTTTAGTCATGTCAAAAAAAATTTGTCAGTGATGTGATATACAAGCCATTCAAACTATATTTCTATTAATTTTATACTTATAATTCGGAATCCAACAAATTTTTATAAAAAATTCATAAGAACTTTTTAGGTCCCGAATACAAAAATATAGCCTGAGTTACTTGTATATCACGTCACTGACAATTTTTTTTGACATGACTAATCTACTAATTTAAACCATCAGCGTAAGCGACGGGTTACATATTAATATTAGCTAATTTGGGAAATTTAATAAAATGAAATTTGATAGCAAATTTTTATACATAATTATGGGTATGTTATCTAATTGATGTCATTTGACATATATTAAAGAATTTGATAAAAATTGACACAAATGATGCAATAGGGCGCTGGTGGCGCCTTACTCTCGCTTGTATTGATATAAAATTTTGCATAATTTAATATACTATGATACTTTATTAGACTTCGCTAAACGGAAAACTTTATAAATTAATTTATTATAATTCGTTTAACAAAATACTCTATTATATTTGACAAAATAAAATGTTATTATAGCTATTTAATATACTTGAAAACTATATTTTACTATATAGTCGAACTAAATCATAGTAAATCGCAGTAAATCGTAGTAAATCACATCACAGCAAAATCACAAAATCCACACATTCCTGCCATAAATCAAAATCGAAAAAAAATAAATAAATCAAAATAAAATTTTACAAAATTAAAAATTATAAAAATTTAGCATTAACATTACCCGAGCTGTTTTCGGATCAAAAGATTTTTCTGTTCTTGTTTGAGATGGCTGTGGTTTAGGTCTACTTTACCATTAAATGACCATTTTTCTCCACTTCACTGTTAATTTCTTTGTCATTTTCTAAAATTGCGAAACCCGAGTTCCATTCATCAGGTCTTTGGAGTTTTGGTTTCCATAGTTTTTGTGCGTTTGAATATAAAGCATTGTAAAGGTCTTCCCAACCTCTCTTGTTAATAAGATCTTTAAATTTCAACCCGTACGCAATGTATAAACCGTTTTTGCCGATCTTTTCAAATATCGAAGAAAATTTTAACTTTGGCCTAAAATATGAAAAAGATTTAGATTAATCCCTCATATCAAGAGTAGAGACTGGAATTGCATAAAATTTTTTTAATAGTTTAACCGTTTAACCGTATTAACCATTCAATTCAATCGGCAATAAGATAACTCTGGCCCATGATAAGTATAATTCCGTCCGGCATTATGAAACAATTTTATGCGGTTAAACGGTTCCAATTTTAAGAGTGCTAATATATTCTCTTATCACAAAATACCAAGTATAATTTATACTCTTTTACAAGGCAATCACCAAAATTTCGGGTTGGAATGCATTGAAGCTGGCTGGAATTAAACAATATTAGGAGACATTTGCCTATAGCAAAATTATCAACTGGATTATGACTTGATTAGTATAATTTTAGTGATCTTTGGCAAAATCAATTCCGGCACAGCCAACCAAGATTCCAATACATTCTGACCCGAGATCTTCCTGTATGAGCTCATATAATAATTATGCAATATTCAAATTAAAATTATATTATACTTAACGTACTATTTTTATTTGAAATTTTTAAATACGATTGCTCCAAATCCTGTCTGATTTTGGAAACAGGATCTTTATGATCAATGCCGTTTGTTATAGCATTGAAGAGGCAAAAATCATACCGATTTGTTTTTACGAGTTAACCGCATGGTGCAAGTGAAAACAGATGTATAAAAATGTAGAAATATAAAGAGTATCAAAAACAGACATATTAAAAGTAGATTTAGAGTGCTAAAAACAGATGTAGAAAAATTTTACGAAACAGCAGAATAACAAAGCTACTTATATATTGTAACGGGGTATTGTGACCTGGCCGCAGTTATCCGAAAACGTGATCTAAGCCATATGACTCGGGACCCGAAATTCGCATGGAACGAAGGGGCATTTAATAATGCTAATTCGGGTTTGGCTTAAGGCGAAGCTCCATTGAGAACAATAGTAAGTCATCTCCGATATTCAACTAAAGTCAGTCATGCAAATGTGAATGAATTACTTATTGTTATCCATAGATTCCCCGATATCCTAATAACCATATTGCTTGTAAGATCAAAATCGTAGTAGCAAAGCCCCCAATGCTGTTTATAATGTACAAAAACCTATTGATTTTCATGTAATTAAACGAGCAGCGTATATGGTTAGATAAATAAGAATCATAATAATAAAGACCATCTAACCCGGGATCCTACTGACAGCAGGGCCCTTGGTTCTCGGATCAAATCTTCCACACTTTCTTTCGAGTAGCCTTAATTTTTGTTGTGTTTTAGGTTGTGAGACTTACAATGTACCTTATTTCTATTCAAATACAATTGCACAAATATTTTAACGATAAAATTTTGATTCGAAACGACGAAAAAAAATCTTTTATCTGAAAATTTGTATTTCAAAAACATATGAATTATTCCACTAGTATCTATTAAAAGAATTATACAAAGTTGTTTAGACATACGAACTTTTCTGCTAGCATCTATTAGAAATTATACAAAGTTATTTGACATACACGCACATACGGAAATTTTTCATAATCCTGAGATAGATTAGTCATTTTAAAAAAAAATTTCATTCTCGTGCGAGATCCCGGATTATACTAATTCACTACGTAGTCAAATAGTCAAAATAAAAATCAGTATCAGTTCACCCTAGTTTAATCGGTTTCCGAATGTGCTGAATGTATACTTGTTCTTGTTCTTGGCCAGAATTGTATAATCGGCTCTGCTATTTAGATCGCAATCAAAATTAGCCCTGATATAAAGTAACTTTTGCAAATAAAAATTTAAAACCGTGACTTCCTTTTACAATAATCATTTCCGCAAAATTAGTACGAACGTACGTACGTGGGTGATTCGATTGTTTGACTAACTCCAATATTTTACAATACTATATCGATTTTACCGATCTATACTACGTAATAATTTTGACCCCCCTGGCATAGATTGATTAATTAGTATATGAAGTATGATGTCTTTTTTAGAAATCCCAAACATCTTACGTACTAAAGATCCGGTATGATGTAGTTTTATTTTACATAATATGAACCCACTTTTACATTATAGAAACAAAGTGCTTCGAATAAACTTTAGCATGAGATTAACCTAAATAGAATTGAGAATCGATTCTAAGAACAATAGTCAATGATACAATCGATTCTATAATCAAAGATCGAATTTCGAATACACCATTCTGTTCTATAGGTTGCATTTAACTAATAATGCATTAAAAAGACCACAAAATACTTTTTTTACGCATAGCCATTTCTAGAAATCTGATTGACTAACAGAGTTTATATTATAAATAAACAAAATATTTTATATGGCGTTAGAGCTTACAGCATTTAGAATGTTTTACTGTAATTCATGATTTGGCAATTTTAGCAGTATGTGTATTACATAGTAAAAGTCCAGCGCTACCACCAATTGAGGGTGTAGTCCTCTGGAAAATTTGAATTCAAAAATTTTTTTTCAAACTTTGTTTTTTATCAATCTTTTAATTTATTTTATTATTTTTAAATATAAGGTTTTTTTTTTGGAAGGAAAAGCTTTCTTAATAGTTTTCTAAGAGACGAAACCATTACGATTAGATTAGAGTAAATACGGAAATAGTTAAACACGTTCTAAATAATAATCACGAACAGATTTAAAATGAACATTGAATTACCGAATATACAAAATTTACACTTTACAAACTCAATAATATAAATTTAAAATTTCACAGTTCAATATGTACAAGGAAGCTCGTTATAGTAAGTTTCTGATATTAATTGGTTTTATAAATGAATCTGAATTCATGAACCAAATTAACACAAATAAATAATTCGAACGAAGTTATAAAAGATTATAGAGTTCTAAAATATAATCACAAGCTAAATAACAGGAAACACCAGTATGCCCAAATACAACTCGCCCTTGCTATAGTGAACTCTTGATATAATGAATTTTGAATTACAGAATTTTCAAAGTATATCTAATATTCTCTC